CTTAAATGGTTTTCAACCGGATACGAAATATTTCTGGTACTTTCAGCTTCTTGAAATTACCGGAAAGCAATACGACGGAGGAATTACGGTTACAACTAATATAGTGGTCATTTATATTTGTTCAGTTACAAAACTTATTGCGATGATACAGGGACCAGACCAAAAGAACACCAAATGGTCACCAAATGTGGCGACAAAGTAAGTCGCCAAAACATTTGTCAGCTCGTCGATATCTCGCCAAATTACGGAGATACCCATTTACTAAATGTATACTCAATGCTAAATGTATACTTGCTCCTTGCTCCCGTATTCCTACTTTTCTGGAGCAGCTTTCTCTTAAACATTTGTCTCGTCCTACATTACACAGAAAAATATACCAATTTTATTTATAATTCCACTAAAATTACCTACCTAAGCAGTAAATTCGTAACAATATAATTTATATTAATTTGGTATCCTGATTGTTTATCGTCCGCTCATTTATTTTTCAGAATGTTCAGGATGATTTGATGACATTCCGTGTCAAGTCATATCAAAACAAACTTTTGTAAATCGTCATGAATTAATAATTGAAAATAATTTATTATTTAGGTATGAGTTTAAGGGTTTGCTGTTATTAAATTGCGTATATGTCTTTAGTGTTATGCATTGGAAGGAGGGTGAAAAAGTAAATAAAAGGGAAAATTATGGCTGTCAGCAGCATCAAAAACACAAACAGAAATATAACGCAATGTTGAAAGGAATAAACGAGATGACAGTGACGGAAACGAAGGTATGACTTTAAGAAATTTTAAGTATAAAAAGTTTCTTTTTAAATTTTGAATTAGTTTATAAAAACTTTAAACTCAATTTTTGTTTAATATATTAGTTTTTGAAATTATCATTAACTTCCTTCATTCCCACACCAATCATAAATCAATAAAATTTTTTACACGTTTCTCCAATGAACTCTCCCTAATTTTGAGATACACTTCATTATGCAAATTTCGGGAACTATCTCCGGTTGATCTTTACATTATGGTAACTTGGCGTTTTTTTGGCGAAAATTTGGCGACCAACTCTCCTACAGCAACCCTCTATTTTTTTTTTCCCCGCCGCCATTTTGTCTTCACGAAGTAAGACATTTCTTTTCTTTTTATCTACTGAACACTTCTCCAACATCTATAGCCGAATTACACTTATGCTAGAAATTTAAACAAAACTGCTTAATCATGACAAATATTCACTGCAAATTGGGAAAAAGTGCACAATACCATACTCCTTACCGTTTTTCAATAACATACACATAAACCACTACACGCCGACTTATTTTTACTTGAAAAACATCCCAGAATTGCACAAATGGCATTTGCGCACACTCTTCACTATCCATGTACACTGCTTTTTCATAAATTAGAAAAAATTTCACGAAAATACATGACAGTTCTCAATCTTTAAACCCGGTAAAAAGAACATATAGAATACCTGATGCGAAAAAAGTATTTACCCCTTGCCAAATATGAACATTCCACATATAAAAAAATAAAATATCCAAAAACTTTTACCTCTAAATCATCTAATATATACACGGCACCAACGAATTCATACCGCAAGCATTACAAATACTTAGTGTAAATTTAAATTATTTCCATGCACATTTCTTCACTTAAACGTATACCAAAATTCCTACAACATAAAGTACAAAATAACTATCATTTAAAATATCACTAAACCATGTACACGTCGACTTATTTTTACTTAAAAACATCCAGAATTGCACAAAAATGGCATTGCGCACACTCTCTTCACTATATCCATGTACACTGCTTTTTCTCATAAATTAAGAAAATTTCACAAATGCATCCAATTGCTGATCTTTAAACCGAAAAGAACGTATATGAAATTACCTGATCGCGAAAGTTATACCCTTCCAAATATGAACATTTCCCAGTATAAAATAAATAAAAATCCAAAAACTTTTACCTCTACTTATCTATTTATTACAAACGTCACTAATAATTATACCGCAAACATACAAATGGTTACAAATTAGTGCCAATATTTAAATATTCCATGCACGTTTACGCAAATTTACTTCCACCCTTACATTTAGAACAATGCATAAAAAATATCCAAATAATTAAAATACTACTTACTATTCTTCTTCAGATCTTGATTACGTGTCCGATAAACTTTTTTATTTCGTTTCAGATCTTTAAATCATATTATAGTTCACACCAAGGCACCAGGTAAAATAATAACTTAATAAACATCTTACTGCTATCTCGCACAACCCTTAAACACTATACTACCCCTTTCAATCCCACTAAACCATTTCGATTACTTAGTTAGGGCCAGGGATCCAAAAATTCGAACACTGTTTCACACAACACGAATAAGCCAAATACAAAATTTGCACTTTTTTCCCGATTTCCCCTTTTCCGATTAAAGAACCGTAATTCGTCCATTAATATCCTGACATATCCCATGATCTCTCATTTCCCTCACACAAAATGCGTAATCGGAACTGAGTACTGCTCACATTATTACCAAAGTCCTAGGTAGTAACCTTTATCGCCTCCAAAATGTCGCCAAACTACCAGTTACCATATTCTAAAGATCAGCCCTATCTCCTTATGTGGCAGGATATTTACATAGCTAAAAGTGCTGTCATCTCTAGGCAGTTGCTAAAAAAACGCAGAAATTTAATTGCTATGACATCTTTCTCACACTCTTTGTTGGTGATTACAACATTTTATTCCTGGTTTCCTCTATTTTGTTTGAACTCACAAACAGCCACTACATTTCTTACGGTGAATGCTTTAGGTTTCTGAAAAACAGGATTTTCCGTAAAGATCCATTGCAAAGTTCGTTAAAATTCGTTCGTTCTGCTTGGAAAAGCTCATCTCCATCTTGCACGAAATAAGCGGTTTTAAAGACAACACCATCAGTTGCAACTGACTTTTCATGCTATTATATCAGGGTGTTTGATCTATTGAAACAATTTGCCATTGATATCCATTTTGAAATTTCCACAGCTTTTGAATGTTTCATGCAGACGACTTTGGGATCACCTTATATCTTTTTTTTTTTTTTTTTTTTTTTTTTTTTTTTTTGATATACGCATAGTTTTGGAGTCATACTGCTTCAGCTGCATCCATGCTTTTATTATTGGAAACTGAGATATTTTTTTAAAAACGTTTGCAGAAAATTTTCCGATTTAATATAACAATACAAGCTCTATAAGCAATAACATTCCAAAAATCAAAAACAAAATTTTAAAATTCGAGAGAAGTTTTGTAGGCCGTTTGATCGCTAAACATCTAAAATAATGACATAACCTATATTTTAAAAATTTCTTTTGTTACTATTAAATAAAACAATAAGAATTTGATTAGTTTTTTTGGAGCACTATTCCTCTCGATTAGTTATAAAATAAAGCAAATTAAAGCGAAATAAAAAGGAATCATGCGCTAATCTGTTTATAAGATACATTTTATGCTAACCCATCTAGATCTGTACTGTCACTTTTCCTTTTGTTAGCCCTCACCAGAGTGCAAATGTTATGCGACTATTTATAGCAAGGGTTTTAAATGTTTTATATGTAAAATTTTGGTAGAGACGCTCGCAGTTTATACTTCCCCTCCGAGCTCTGATTTGTTAGTATTCTGGCATTAGCCATTTTGCTAGCCGAAGCTAAATCACGCCAATAAAAGTTTTGAAACAACACTTCCACAGTTTTTGAAAGGCAACTTTGTATAGTCTCAGCTTACGAATCGATTTTTAATTCTAAATTTAGTTTAAGAAAATTGGTGGAGTTCGTACGCACAAGCTGTGCTTTCTGTTAATTTCAAGATTTAATAAAAAGATTAACTTAAAACCACGTAGGACTTTGATGTACCTCCAGCGATAATTCGCTTATCAGTCTGGTAGATCTAAAGACGTTTTAAATTAGATTTACGCAAGTAAGCTATTAAATGTGTTCATGGAAGCTAATACATTTTAACTAATTCTTTTTAGCAAAACATTATTGTCAACCCTATTTAGTAATAAACAAAGTAGACTGAATACCTAGTATTAAATGAACTTATAGATAACGTTAACAGGATCAGATTTCGATGTGTTGAGATAGAAAAATGCAAGCATGTTCCAGTCACTTAACTTGCATAATGTGGCAGTGATTCGAAAACTGATAAATAGATTTAAAAAACTTGTATTCAAATTGCTTAATAAAAAATTATAATGAAGTAATCATGTTCTTTAAAAAAATTTCCAAATAAATATAAAATACTGAAAGCTTTCAGATTTTATATAACGGCCAAAAGAGCCTTTTTTTTTTTTTAACGTTTTGTGTGTAACCTTTATTTATTAAATATCGTGTTCTTCGCACTTAAACCATAAAATTCAATTCAAAAGCAATATCGCAAAATATTTATAAGAGCATATCTTTAGAATTTCCGATACCCAGTCTCGCGCGCTGGAGACGTATATATATTTTTTCCCGTACAGTGTTGCCATTGCTCTCTGTGAAATCGTTGTATTTCTTAATCAAAAACTTATAAATGCTTTACAAAATATAAAATAGATAATAAAACAAATTCCAAATTTGGTCTTCCAGATACCCATATTCGAATGGAGACTTACTTTATTCAAAATTTGATGGTTGTAGGTACCATTGTTTTATCACAATGCGAGAAACATACGTACATTTACGCGGATTCTTCATTATTTAATTTTTTTAAATATAATATAGGGCTCTAATATTTGGTGGCAACAATTTAAAAAATGATTCACCGTTTATAGTGATTTGGGCTAACAAAGAAAACGCAGGGAACAGCAGTACGTATTCAATGCTTTTTTAATATTTACTTTTCTAAGGATGGCAGTAGGGGTTTCACTAAAAAATATATATTTATGGGTTCTCTGAGGCGAAAAAGTTTAAAAAGTAGCAAATTATTGCACAGCTTTATTAAATATTTGCATTTCTGAGGATGGAATTGTTTTTTTTATACTTCACTTACTTTCATTTTCGTCATTCTCTTCCGCTGCACTATCCAAGATATTTTGACAGTCGCTAAATGCAAATAGCAGAAACACACTCCAAAATCCTCCAAGACACTTCATAGCATCTAACGTAACATATTTTGACACAATGCATGAGCAATGGATTGTCAGTAAAATAAGGCACAGTAGCAAACCGGAAGGAAGTGACATCGCCATGCTCAACGGAAGGTGAAGATTTCTAGGAAAAAAAATTGAGGAAGATGGGAACTTCCGTGGATTGTGAAGGGTTTTTTTTTCTTCCCTAAAAGCTAGAATTCATTTGTCAGAGATAAAAGATAAGTTTATTTAAATTACGTTGAAGGGAAATTTTTTTTCCTACTAAAATGAACCGAATATTTAAATTGAAAAACACTTTTTTATTATCTAAAAGGATAACATATTTCGAAATAATGGTTAACAACTGTTATTATTACTATCATCATCAAGAATTTCGGCAATATTATCATCTGAAAAAAATGAAATTTAATAATTAGAAGAAATAACAGCTATTTTTTAGATTAATTTATGTGTAAAGGTACAAGAGTATGTTTTAGAGAGAAACTGGCCTTTCTTTATATGCTAGTGAAGAAGACAGCCAGTTATTGCTCTCATAATGTTGAAATTAATCATAGCTGCTAATTATATCTTACGCGTTTATCCTTATATTGATTCAGTATGACACTTAGTTACAGCAACTAAAAAAATGTACTGTAATTTTAATAAATTTATAAAATGGGAGATAATTTTATTTTATTTCGTTTGTAGAATTTTGAGAATGTCAATAATCAGATCTATGAGAGATCAAATAATTATTTTAGGTTCTAAAACTATTTGTTAGTTGTTCTTTTATAATCGAAAATAAAGAAAGCGATTTTTTTTAAATCATAAATTCTTTTAAACCGATTGACAGTATTAGAAAAACACTACAAAAACTTATGATTGCGCAAAATGAAAGGAACAGAAACATCGATTTATCAGAAAAAGTTTAAAAATAAAGATTTTGTTTACAAATTTAGCAATATTCGAAATCTGGAGGTAAATTCTTTTCCTTTCTTTTTCTAACCAGAAAGTAATTTAAACCAGGGTCATTTAATTAAAAAAATTTCGTGATAAACAGTTTGCGAGCTTGCATGTATAATGCTTTAAGTTAACGAAACAGTTTTTAACAGTAAAATCACACTAACAGCACAAACTTGGTATACCATACTCATCATGGGCCCACCAGCGGCCGAGCGGTGAAGTAGCTGAACACTGGTAGTTCGGTCCGAGGTTCGAATTCCGCGAACGGGCTGGCTGCATGGGCGTTTTCGTGGTTTTCCCCATGTGTAACGTGTATACGAGCCAGTTCTCCTTAGAAAGTCCTCCACGAAGGCATCCCTTCCCTTAGGCAGATAGCCCTCGAGGTTTTGCCATAATCACACACACACACCATACTCATCATACTTCTGTAAGGAAATCAACAGGATAGTTTAAATAAAAGCTTTATCAGTTTTAAAATCAAAGTAAAATTTTGAAATCTATCAAGATTGATTTATATTAATATTTTTAAATGTATAGAAGGGTAAATTCTAATAGAGATAAGAAAATTGCTTTTCCAGCAAAAATAGATTTCAGGTCTATTTCTAGCAAGGAAGTAACACTATTTAATGCATAAAGAGATTCAGTTTTTAAATTTGTTCTTGTGATTTCTCTAAAACTGTGTCCTTTGCAAAAAATACAAGGTAAAATTCATAGTGCTTATACAGCTATAACAAAGGGAAAAAGGTCAAAGTTTGGCTTCAAGGAGAAAAATGTTTCAAAATATGTACCAAGGAAAAAATTGAAAGTTTCGAATGTTGCAAAGAACTTTAATGGGCTAATCTTTGGAATATGGTAACAGGTAGTTTAGCGACATTTTGGTAAGGCGATAAAGGTTACTAGATAGGACTTTAGCAGCGTACTGGATAAAGTCAAGAGTGTGCACAAGCATTTTTGGCAATCTGGGTGTTTTTTAAGTGCAAATAGGTCGAGCGTACATCATGATACCGTTATTGCAGTTTTTAAAAAGCGCAAGCAGTGGGCAATTCTGCACTTCTCTCAATTTCGTACTAATCTTCGTCTGATTAGCACTTTTGTTCCTAAAGTTCTAGCATAAGCGTATTTCGGCTAGCGGATTGTTGGAAAAAAATGTTGAGTTAAAAAAAAAAAAAATGCCTTTACTTCGTGAAAACAAAATGGCGTCCCCCCCCTCCAAAAAAAAACTAGCAGTTTGCTGTAGTTTGCCAAATTTTCGCCAAAAAAATCGCCAAGTTACCATAATCCGAAGATTAATCCTTTAATGTTGAAAGAAAATTTTCGAAGTCAAAGGACAGTTGCATAATCATTAAAATGCTCAGTATTAACTGCAAACAAAGGGATCAATGCTGACTTTGATCTTAAAAATGCGAAAAAACGTAATGTCTTTCTCGATGACATTTCGCCGCAGAGTCCACCGCAGAATTATCTTTGAGAAACAATTATTCAGATAAAAATGAAAAAACATTGTCACAATGGATGAATCTTGGTTATATTTAAATAGCAGCAATAAAAGGATATCCATTTATTATCATGAAAGAGAAGGGGAAAAAAAAATCTTAAGAGCATGGTTCAAAGAATAATGAAAAATTTTCAGAGAGATTTATGATTTTTTCTGGTTTTTGATATATCGACAAACAAAAATTAAAGAGAGTGCGGAAGACTGGTGAAGCCAACTCCAAGCATTATCAGGAACATATTTGATACCCAATTTTCAAATGTGAAATACCCTCTCTTTACTCACAGTGCCATCAGCCAGTAGAACTGCATTAAGACAAAGCAAGCGGCCGCACGTCAAAATCCACTATTGATTTCCTGGAACAAATGGGACAAGAAACGTGTATCAAAACCATGTCCTAACTAAATCTCCTGATGTGTCACCCCCGGATATTTGCGTTTATGGACTTTCAAAAAGCGGATTGTCCAGACATCGACCTGCAACCCTTCTTGGACTTTGGAAGGCTGTTCGAGAGGAACGGGATAAAATTCCTCTTCCGCTACTAAAAAAAAATTTATTAGCCTGGAACTTACGGTGTAGAAAGATAGTGAGAAATGAGGGTTATCAAATGGAACATTTAAAACAGGAATATTTTAGGCAAAATATTTTTGTAAATACAATGAAAGTTATCTAAAAAATGTGCGAACAGCCTTAGTATACTCCAAAAATAGTGAAATGGCTGGGAAATAGTACTGTGATTTAGTCTCTGAAATAGATATAATCAATAATAATCATCAATAATTATCGATAGATAGTGGGAAACCTTTTGAAATTAACAACAGCGTACTGGAAATCACAGTATTGACTCTACGAAGGACCGACAGCATTTTGATCAGCATATTATCGACAGGGCAGCTCAAAAAAGGCGTCGATTTTAAGCCGAAGTTTGTATAATTCGGGTGCCCTTTAAAATGACAGATTAATCACTCTTGCCGTGCCATTGTCTATTATATACCGATATACGCTACCTGTCGACACTAGGTAGTGTTGATCGAAAGCCCGTAAAAATTCCATGAAGGTGACATAGGTGAATTAATTATTTTACTCATTATTACATCATTATGTTTTGTTTCAAACGGTCGAACATTTGTTCACTGTTGGGTATTGACTATTTGTCGAGAACAATCAGTACTATGCAGATATTTAGCAGTCTCATCTATGGTTTTCGGGATGTTAGCTCTCCAGTTTGAGGAAGTGTTGAGGCAGTTTTTATGGAGAGCAGTTCAGGAGTTAGATTCGAGAGTCGCCTATCCCTATTTTTTTTCCACCAAACCTTTAGACAGAACTTTCACCTACGCAACATTTGAAAACGACCATGTTGTACACACATGACACCCAGGTTGGGAGAAACCCGATGCGCGGGCGATTACGGCCCTTTTAATTGCTTAAGCCGGCCCGTTATGAAACCCTGTCATCGACATTTTCACTCCTTTTCTGCCTTATTTTGCACGAAAATTGCCGAAATCAACGGCACGAGTGTGCATTATAGTTACATTAAAAATGCGCATATATACACGCATGATATTCTAGCGGGCAATCTAAATTGAGAACATTAGAAATACTAAAAAGCATGTTCATTCGTCGAAGAATATAGCACTTCTATGATTTCTTGCTTTAAGCTTTAATTTACAAATTAAATACTAAAATATGAATATTGGGCTAATCTTTGGAATATGGTAACAGGTAGTTTGGCGACATTTTGGTAAAGCAATAAATGTTACTAGCTAGGACTTTAGCAGTGTACATGGATAAAGTCAAGGGTGTTCGCAATGCCATTTTTGTGCAATTCTGAGATTTTTTTTTAAGTGAAAATAGGTCGACGTGTACATGGATACCGTGTATGTGCAGTTCTTAAAAATGCGTCAAGCAGTGGGCGATTCTGCACTTTCTCCCAATTTCGCACCTAATCTTCGTCATGATTAAGCACTTTTGTTCCGCAAAAGTTCTAGCATAAGCGTAATTCGGCTAGCAGATTGTTGGAAAAAATTGTTGAGTTAAAAAAGGAAAAAAAAGCATGCCTTTACTTCGTGAAAACAAAATGGCGTCCAAACAAGATTTAGCAGGTTGCTGTAGCAAGGTAGGTCGCCAAATTTTCGCCAAAAAATCGCCAAGTTACCATAATTCGAAGATTTACCGAATATTGTTGAGATAAAAAGGTTGATTAGAAAAGGGAGTTTAAGGAAAACATTTCACCTCTAAATTTTTCAGATTATGTCAAAAGTATTTAATTTTATTTGGATCGACTTATTAACCTAAAAGAACCTTTTCGCTGATCAAATACACGGAAAATAAGTGCCGATCACAAATTATTGATGGAAATCTAGATTCAGTGTTAAAGATTGTTATGAGTGAGTTGGAACTAAATTTAGTAAAATTATCGCAAACGAACATTCGAGATTTCGCATTTCACATTAGATATATATTAATAATCTTTTTTAGAGCACAGTTTTCGTAATAAACATAAAAATGTATAGGAAGCTACAAATTCATAAAAATATTTGATTAATGATAGATGCCTTTCATTGCTTCACGTTCTTTGAATTTATGTGTACATTTTAT